CGTGGAATATTTCAAAAGAATTATTATTTTAGGCATGTTAGCCAAACTAGTAGCACTAAAATTTCCTGTTGTTTTAAATTAATTGAGAAACTTTATAGGATGTTTATATTTAGAAAGATTGAGGTGGCTGGTTTATGAAACAGATATAGAAACGAAGTGAATGGTGTTGTTGTGGGACGTTTAGTGAAAGTGCACAGCCTAAATTGATGGAGAAGTATATCGCTTGTTGAAGATGGTTTTATTGCTGAATTTTTTTCATCGACATGAGTTTGTTTATGAAAGTTTTCGCATCTTCATAATTTAAGGATCTTTTTTTATAGTCTACAGTAGCGTTATTTAAGAAGATGACAAAATCTTATGCTCTTGAGGGCTTAGTTAATGTCATTTTTGATTGAAAGAATTTTTGGTTTGTGAGGAGAGGAGGGCGATTTGTCGGGCACAGTGCCGTAAATTGAATTTTTTGGCTAACAGGCTGTGTTGGTGTGTCAGTCTGTCTGTCATAAGTTCAGTGTGCCTGTCAACTGTTGTAAAGTCTTTCCTCACGGGGATTCAGAATATTATGTCGTTGTGTAGTGTCGGAATTCGATTGGATTTTTGTTTATGAACGCTGTTTACCCGGGTTTCTGCATGGCACAGTTTGGTATTGTTCGACAACGTTGTTGCCGTTCATTCTTGCGTTCGTACCGATTCTTATTGTTTTTTATCCGATCGGCGACTGAAATATTTCTATATTCCTGAGAACTTTTGTATCTATTAGCTTTGTTTTCAGTGCGGCTTAGTTCGAATTATTCATTTGCTTTTAGAAGCCAAACAATTTTTCATTGCTGTAGTGAGATTTCTGCAGAAGAAAAATGTGTGCGCTTCGTCTGTGAAAAATGCTAGTTATCTGTAGTTTTTTAGGGGGGGATGGTGGTAGTAATATTTTTGCAATTGGATTTAGAGCTTTAAAATATCGAGTATAGTTGAACGGTTATGCCAGAAGCAAAAATTTGCATGCTTCTACTTTTTTCCTTGTGTAAGGATAGTTCAGGTAGTTTGAAAATCATTCAAATTAGGTGCGGTTTTAAATTCGCTTTTGAGGAAGCTTGTCGAGGTATGTGATTGAATATTATCTGCCTATTTTGTTTGGTCTTTTTATACAAAATTTTTTTTGTAAATAGTGGTATTTTTGGCTTAATTAGTTTTTCATCTCTCTGTTTCTTTTTTCTCATAACCAGTGATCTAACGTTTTTTCTCAGGTCGTAATTTAGTTTTTAGAATTTGATGACTACAAACGTGTATGGTTTTTTACGCGGAATTTCGTAAAAGAAATGAAGTTAATTTTCTTAATTGGCTGTAAAAAAAAAAAAAAAAAAAAAAAAAAAAAAA